AAATGTTCCTCAACAAATGCTCCACTTTCTGTCAAATTTTTTATTGCGCTACATGATAAATGTTTGAAAAACTGCTTCCGCAGATATTTTAAAATTAATATATATATCAGGCACACACACTTAGCTATTTTGCTCTTAATAAAACTCTAAAGTAATGAAAGTAAAATAAAACAAATAACACAATTAAATATTATTTTACTAAACTTAATTATCTTTTAATTCTATAGAAAGGAACCCGATATCCCATTTGAAATTATTTTTTCTTCTATTCTATCAATTGCACAGATTCTAAATAACTTAATGTTATTTTCTTATCTACTAAAACCAATTTTTTAGTTGCACCAAGATATAATATAGATTTAAATTCCTGATAAAATTATAGCAAATCTTGACAATTTTTTAAGCGAGCATTTGAGCAAGATAAAAGGAAAGTAAGTAGAAAGAAGTCATAATTTCATTATCTTTGTCTTGGTCATAAGCGTTAATTCACGTAATATCTCTGAATGCAGCAAGTATTTCTTTTTTTTTTCTAGTATACTTTGTAATCATATTTATCATTTACATGTGCTTAGTTTCGAAATGGTACTTTGCGTTGTTTCTCTATAAATGGTGTTATCACCTTTTTAAATTGCTGCCGCCAGATATTATCGCCCCGAATTATTATTAAAGAATGGAGAATCTGCATGTATATGCGCATGTTCCTCGCAGTCTGAAAAAACGACAGTACCTTGAGCCATCCAGCTTTGAATAACGGAGTCCTCCATCCGAACGCATACAATTGGAAGCCCGAAATTTTTTATTATTCATTTCATAATTTTTAAAACTATATAATGAATTTCTTATTAGCAAATTCAAAGATATGAAAGCAAGCAATGGCGACACCTTTTAATAAAGCATTTTTATCTCAAGCGCGCGAGACTGTTGCCATTCGGAAAAATATAAGATATTTATCTTTGAAATATTTGAATCTTGCAATCTATTTAACAAACTTGACTGTATGAAAGCAAAGTGTTGCCGCGGCCGGAAATAAAATACTTTAATCTTCCACGCGCCAGCGTAATTCAGTAAAGCCTAAGATTCAGTAAAGCCTAAGATAACGTCATTCAGTAAAGCCTAAGATACTTTCAAATTTAATCTAGAAAATTACCGAGTAATAAACTAAGCGATTTAAGATAACGTCATTCAGTAAAGCCTAAGATACTTTCAAATTTAATCTAGAAAATTACCGAGTAATAAACTAAGCGATTTAAAAGCAATAAACACAGTTCTTAAGAATATTTTTTCTATTTTTTAATGTGATTAATTTAAATAAACATGCATTAAAATCATGAGGTATCTAATTAGAAATACTCAATAGTTTTATGAAATTATTGTAGCTGGATTTATTAAAATCATTATATACTTTTTCTTTTTTATGATAACTATATTAAGGTGGCTGAACGAAATAATATAGTGAATATAAAAGTATGTATGGCAAGCTCTAACTCTCTATCTGGAATTCTAAAGATATAACGTTTTTAAATATTTTGCTATCCAATTGAATTTTATGTGGCGTAAGTGCAAAGGACGGCACATTTAATAAAGTTAACACATAAAACGTTAATAATACAAAGACAAAAAAATACGTTAGCATATTACTAAGAAAACTGAATACTGGTAAGATGAACTGAGAAAAGACTGAAAAAAAAAATATAAACTGTATGCTTAACAGTTTTGTTATTTGTTGCTTTAAGCTATTGAGAAAGCTATTGGCTTTCAGTCAAAAATAAGTAATTGCTCATAAAACCTGTAGCGGGTTGCTCACATTTTCAGAAGTAAAGATCAGTTAAATTTACTTGAGAGGTATAGAAATAGACTATATAGAAATGAAAAAAAGGTGCTACTGTTGCTTTAAGAATATGTTAGATTAGACGGTTTGAATACGGCCAAAGCACACGGAGGCTATATACCTAGAGGGTACACATTACACATCTACACATGGGGGAAACTAAACACAGAACAGCCCATTTACCTGGATTCGAACCTGTTTCGAACTATTAAGCGGTCATAACCACTCGGCCATTGGTGAAGTTATTAATACTCATACCGTATTATCAGTGCATTAATGAAGTGTTCGCTTGCAGTAACGAAAGGTAAGAAATTCGATTCTTAACTTAGATTACGCTTGACATTTCATAATGTTGCCACCGCTGTGTAAGCGATCAAAAAGGTTTCGTAGTACGAACATACGTACTAAGGAGGTAGAATGTTAGAGTATACATGCTATCAGCTGAAAGGATTGGTAAAATACACTGGTGTGCAAAAAATAAGGACGAGACGGTTTTTTTCAATATAACTTTGTACAAAAGCTTTCCAAATCAATACATTTAATACCGTAAGATCCCCAGCACGTAAGGACATGAGTAATGTAAGCAACACTTACTAAAAGAGAAATCAGAGGGATAAAAAGAAGCTTTATTGAAAAAGTAGCATGGAGCGCAATGCGACTGAAGGCCGAAACATTCCTGTGATGGGTGTCCAGCAAGAAACATCCGGTCTTTAATAGAGGATATGATCTCCCCTGACTGCTAGGCAGGTTTCACAGCGTCTGCCCATGCTGAGAATGAGGGTGTCAATGAGTTGTTGAGGCATTGCTGCTCATTCGTCTTGCAGCGCCAATCGAAGCTCCGGGATCGTTCTGGTGGTAAGGTACGAGCTGCCAAGCGTCTGCCTAGAAAATCCCATACATGCTTGATGGGATTGAGATCCGGAGATCGTGCCGGCCAATCCATACGTTCAATATCCTCGCTCTCTAAGAGCTGTTCGGCAGCTACTGTGCGATGACATGGTGCATTGTCGTCCATGAAAAGGAACTGCGGACCCATAGCGCCTCTAAAAAGACGCACATATGGAAGAAGAATCTCGTTACAGTAACGGGTCCCGTTGACTGAACCTGCGTCGAAGATGTGAAGGTCTGTACGACTACAAAGCATGATGTCTCCCCAAACGAGAACACCGCCACCTCCATACCTGTCCCTTTCAATGATGTTCGAAGGATGATTGCGGCTTCCCCGCTCTCTCCAGATGAGTATGCGATGAGAATCGCTACTCAGACTGAATCTGCTCTCATCTGTAAAGAGTACTCGTCCCCATTCATTGTCTCCCCAATTCCGGTGTTCCCGGCACCACAGAGAACGCCTTCTCCGATGGGCAGGCGTTAGAGGTACACACCGTACAGGGCGTCGTGCAAACAGACCACCACCGTGCAGTCTTCTGGCCACGGTAAAACGCGATATCGGTCGTCCAGTCGCCTGTGTCGTGTGTCTAGCGATTTCTCCCGCTGTCTGCCGCCTGTTTCTTCTGGCCTGTAAGGCAATATACCGGTCATCTGCGGGTGTGGTTCCTCGTGGACGACCACTTCTAAACCCCCGGATAGCTGTTCCTGTAGTTTGAAATTGTCTCCAAAGTCGTGAAACGATGCTGTGAGCAATTCCGAACTCTGCAGCCACACTTGTCACACTGCGGTCTTCCTCCAACTTCCCAATGATTCGACCTCGGGTAAAAGCATCCAGATGTCGTCTAACAGATTGATTATTCGCCATTTCTCGCTTAGGCAGCAACTCGGTGTGATTTTAACTGCTATACAGCGTGCAATCTCTTTGCCAGAAATACTGATCTTACACCGAGAACATGCTTTATACTACTCAGACACTCCCCATTACGTATACCTGCATATCTGCGCATGTGCTACCGTACATCACCTTACTTAATCTCCTGATTGGTCTTTCTGTCCGCTCTGCCTCTTCGTTCAGCTGATATGCTAATTTTTCCGACTTCGTCCTTAATTTTTGCACACCAGTGTATTTAGATGATTTATAAATTTTGATCCATAGGCATAATGAGCCATGATACATGTGTATTGATCATTGATACATACACATGTATCAATGATCTTACACATCACATACTAATATAAGGAAGATATTATGGATATTAAGCAAAAATATTCATGCATGTATTTCCGTAAAGACGAAGCAAAAATGTCTGTGCATGTATTTTCATTCATATAAGAATGATTATTATTTATTCCCGTCTGTTTCCCCCTGCGGAATATTTAATTACGAGAACTGGAGTAATAGGTCAAAGGGAACTGGTTTGAAAATTAGCTCTTAAATGTTACTTCACAACCAAGTCACCTGTCTTATTTTCCTTTTCTTTGGGAATTTCCTTCGTTGATAATCCCTTAGAGACTTTCTGAATTAAGAATTTTTTTTTTTTTTTTTTTTTTTAATTTGCTCAAATTTCTTACGGGAAGAACTTATTTCATTGAACTTATCCATAAAAAATATTTAAGTAAGTTATGATAGTGACTTTGTATATGTATTAAAGCTTTCTAATAACATCATATACTAATATAAGGAAGATATTATGGATTTAATGGGCGAGAAGATCAACTCCTTGTTTATGATACTAATTTTAGAAAAGAATGCTAATTACGTAAATGTATCCAAACTGCTTAGTTTTTACATTTTGTTGTATCCTAGACACAACAAAACTCTAATTGCTTTTGGAAATAATTACTATTTTTGTTATTACTACAAACGCGTTTTATTCAATATATAATGTCCATAGTGCTATTTCTAATAGCATTTATGTTTCATAGCCAAAATTGCAGTAGTTTATTTCCAACAGTCCACATAATATCAGTTATTTACTTTGTTTTTGTGCTATTCTTAGTTCTGTTGGACTAGTGCAAGCATTCGTATTCAAATGATCATTTGCAAAACAACTTGTTAAATTTTAGAGTATATTATGGTTTCCATTAATATCTTTCATATATATATATATTTTTTCATTGTATTATTTTTATGCTGCGCTAAATATAGCATAGTAAGTATGTCTTTATTTTCCAATGAAATAATTTTACTCTTGTAGGGATAAAATTCGCTGTTGATTTCAATGTGCGGTAAATATAGCAATCTTTTATCTTGCCAGTTTTTAATAAAATGCTTTCATTACAGGATGTTTTAGACTTAACACGACCTGGAATAGGTCTTGGCCTAACGACTATATTAGGTTAGAATTGTTTCCATAAAGAAGAAATGACAGGAGTATCCATTCGCAACGTTATCAGTGACTTCCTTAATGTATTGATCTGTTAATACTCTTCATAAATTTCTTTGAGCACTGAAACTTTTAAGTGCAAAGAGTCATTTTCACTCCATGTTTTTCAAGAAGCGGATAGTTAAGCACACATATCTAATCTCTTCTAATCACACAGTGATATGATAATTTTACGTCGTCACCGACATCATTATTAAGTGTTACCTCATAAAATCTTTGGATGCATTTATTGTTTGAGAGCTTTTCTTTGGGTAACTCTGTACATTCCAATGGAGAGAAATAGTCGGCTAAAAAAAAAAAAAAAAAAAAATAATGAAATAGTCGGCCGAGAGTGAGCATCTTAATTCTTCTTTTATTTAATTATATCATACGTGTTCGCGCTTTTGTCACCGTTCAGCAAGTATTCAGTTATAATTATCTTTAGAATTATAATTCAGCTTTAACAATAAGCGTTAAATTTAATAAAAATCTGTTAAAATAATTGTAAGAACAGCGAATAAAAATTGACCTGCAATAGCAGTCAATAAACACTAATTTTTGAAATGTTAGCTTATTAACGTTTGTTATTTAGTTTAATATTTATGAGCAGAACGGATAATTCAAGAATTCCGAATATTAAAACATTCAACCTTTTTTTTTTTTTTTTTTTTTTTTTTTTTTTTGTCTTCTGAAATATTTTAATTGTTAGTCATACCAAATATATTTAAATAGGCTTTTAAAACTATTCTGAACAGCTTTGAAGTTTAACTATTAAAGTTTAAAATAATAACTGCTTTAGCCCTGGGTTTACTTTTACAAATTTAATATAACACTTCTGGGTGATATGAAAGCAATCCAACCTTTGAAAATTAGTTTTGCTGTTGAGAGATGGCTAGCATATATTCTTAAAATCGTATGTCGTAAACTTTTATTAATTTTCTTACTTTCAGTCCTTATTTAGGGAATTATTTCGTTTCATACTCCATGCTTATGCAGCATGAAACCAAACTCTTAAATTCATCAAATTCAGTTTATGCTATTTATTAAAACAAATAACTGGAAATCTGCTTGACCTTGGTTAATTAATTATGGTAAAGCACCTGAGAGCTATCTGCCTAAAGGAAAACTGTTTTAAGAAAGACGCATTTTATAAAGGAATTATTTTTCATTCACGTTAGGGTACTACTATACTTGGCTAAAATCACAGAAAGTCAATTAACATTTTCAGTCGACCGAGACGAATTACTAGCTTTTCAGTGCTTTTGCCCATCGAGCCATTGGTAGGCAAATATAAACATACAGTCATTGCTTTTCGTGATTGCACCAGCTCTTTAAGTTTTGTCAAGACTAATCATTTACTTTTTCTGTTATTTACAACAAAAGATTTTATTTGAAACTGTTTCTAAACTCATATGCGTGCTATAATTTTTACTTTTGCATAAGTGACAGTTTGATATTTTTGTTTTATAACACTGTGCCATGTCTCGATTTAATAAATAAAAAGATTATTCCTTTGTTCCAGCGCTTAACTTTCGCACACGCAATTGTAAATTTGACAGCTAAGGAATGATTTAATTTGAGTGTATCTAGAAAATCGGTAACTCAACATGTTACTCTTTGGCCTTGATGATTCCGTTTTTCCTCATTTGTTTGGAACATTACAAGGTCAAGTATGAAGAACAATTAACATTTTTGTGAAGCGCGTCCTTATACATTTATTTACCCGCTTCAGACCGAGAAAAATAATTCACAGAGGGTTTAAGTAGACCTTCAGAAGTTAAGGTAAAGGGGGGAAAATTGGTTTTTCTGGGGGGGATTTGTTTTCTTATTAGAAGAAGCGTCTCCATACTGTTTTTCCATTTTCTACTTCACGCTATACCACTCGACTACATGAAACGAGCATCTTGCAGCATTTCGACCAGATTCTCGTAAAAAATCTATACTCATCGCGATACTAGTAACAGGAAGTGGCTGAGAAATTATTGTAATGGCCCAACACAGACTATAAATATTTTTTGCGTATTTTGTCACATTCTTTTCACTGCGAGTAGAGCCGTACGAAATCTACGAGTACTTATGTGGTATTTTGTCAAAGTTCAGTTTTATAAAAGATTTGCGTTTATTTTATGAGATTAAATAGAACAACAATCTAGAACCTATATAAAGTTTGTCATGCATGACATTTTACTAAGTTTTGTAATATTTTAGGCTGTTTGATTCGAGGCTAGTTTTGCAAGTTCCAGTAAATCTTCAAAACATTTTCCAATTTCATAATGAAAAAGGTAAGCTAAATATTGTTACAAAATATACAGACGCGGTAAGATAGCTTCCCCGCAAAGCAGGTTTAGGGTGTCATAAAATGGCAAGGGAAAGCAGGGTTGCCACATCCGGTGAGAAATCGCCCATTTGGCAACAAAATCGGCGATATACCATGGACGGATGGAGAACCTTCTGAAACGAATTCTTACCGGTTTAGCCCACAATGTTCTGGAACACAAACCGAAAACTATATAAATCCCGCTGGTCCGCAGTTAGTTTCGAGAGTGTGCCTCGAGAATGCGAGATAGTATCGAGTTGGTGTCTCGTCTAGCGAGTCAATGCCTCCGGAGTCGATCGTGTTGACAGCCGGGCAGCGAGTGCCGAGTGGGTCCTCGAGTGCGCCGAAAGAGTCTCGTAGTGTATCGCGGTTAGTGTCGAGAGAGCGTGTTGATCTCCGAGAACGACCGAGCAGAGTCGGCAGCTGTAGTCTAGTGCTTTTGTCGTGAAGCTGTCTCCACCGTCATAGCCTGATAACCTGGAGGCTGTGTCGCTGATCGTATCAGCGTGTTTCATCGACGACTGTAAAAATGTGTTTTGGAGCTGTCCTGACAATACTGGCCAATAAAGTGTGTTTCGATACTTCATCAAGTAATATTGTCATTATTCACTCCAAATCCTCACGAACCCCGCACGAACGTGAAGGAACTGGTGTCAGAAGAGAAAACCGTAACAATATGTATGGCCTAAACACACGGAATTCTAAGCGCCATTTATATTCATTTTTAAAAATAAATATGTAAGATTTATTCAAAAATTAATAAATTATGGAAAAAATACAGAAAATTTCCAAAACCTCTGGGTAATATTAATTTCTTTCTGTATTTTCTTCAAAACAATTGTTTTTTATTTATTTAATTGCGGCAAAGCATTCGAGAGCTGTATGCCTAGAGAGATGTCTTCGTGGAGGATTTTCTAAGGAAAACTGGCTCGTATACATGTTACACATGGGGAAAACCACGAAAGCGTCCATCCATCCAGCCTGTTCGCGGGATTTGAATCTTGAACCGAATTGCCAGTGTTCAACGACTTGGCCGCTTGATACAACCAAGCATTCGGAATATGTGGAAAAATAATTGCAGAAACAAAGACATGAAACTTTTATATTAAAATAGGTTTCTAGACCTACAATTTATAGTCTTCGCACTAAAAAGAACTGAAACTGCGACACAATATTATTTTTTAGAAGATTTTTTTAAAACCGATGGCGGGCCCTTAGCCGTCTTCGGCTTGGCTACTACTAAGGCAAGAAGTGGTGGCCACTTTATTATGAAGGCACCTAATAGGTGGGCCACCTCTGCCTCCTATGAAGAAACAGACATTTACAACCATGCCTTCTCCGGAATTCGAACCCAGGCTCCTTGGTATCGCAGTCGGCTTCCCTAACCACTATACGTCTGGGCGGCATTTTTTAGGAGATATTCTATGCAAAGGATGAACTTTAAAATAGAGTTTTGAGAAGTTAAACGAATATTTTAATTAGTTTTTTCAGAATACATTAAATTTTGGATGGCCGTAAATTTATATTAAATTTTATTACCCCATTTCTTAACAAAGATTTTACTTTAAAGAAACTTCTACAATTTGCATTGAACTATTGGCCTATTAAAAACATTCTCTTTCTATAGGCATAGTACGTCTTGCTCCCTCTCCAATAGTACAAGCATACTTGAGACTTTAAATTTAAAAAAAAATACTTCGAAATATTTTAATGGTACTTTGAGTATTATTTATCAAATTTAAATTCAAATTCCGGCCTATGGGCTAGCTGCATGGGGTTTTTTATAATCTTCATCCATATGTAACTGGATACGAGCAAGTTTGAGAGCAAGGATACGAGCAACTCGCTGCTGCTTAGATGTGTCGCTTGCTACTGCTGTCTGTCGTCTAAAGAAATTAAAGCTATATAAAATTATGGGGTGCAATAGCGTAAGAGGAATGTGTCCTAAAAGTTAGTTATTAAGAAATAAAATTATATGTTGAAATTAGGAGACGTCCGTCTTCAAGCTTCACCTTCTAACTCTGCAGCAAAACCTTTCCAAATAATTACAACGCAAAGAAATGTCGCCAATCCAGTGCAGCTATTTCCTAATCATCCTATTACATAAATATTATTTAAATAATTAATATATAAATATTATTTAAATATGTACTGTAAAGAATTTTTAAGGTACATTTTATTTTTGTTCCTGCCACTTTCGTTTCATTGGTGCTACTATAATTACTTACGCAGAGCAGGCTGTCATAGATAGTATGTGTATGTGTTAGAAAATATGTAAACATAAATTATAATTTAAATAAGAAGCAATCCCTTAATCCTTAATGCTTAGTTTTAATTTGGTATTCCCCCACTCTGTTCTAAAAGCAGTAAGCTCTTTTTTGCACCGCGTAGTTTCGAAATTCATCCATGTCATATGACTGTTAAATAACGCTGGTGATGTAAATGGAACTCAAACATCCAGTAGTAATTTTACAGCAGTATTAATTGTCCAATCAGACTCATTGAGAACCGAAATTTACTCAGTCTGAATTAAGATATCATCCGGAACACAAATTACTTTCTATACTTCGGCCTAGCTGGATTGCTGCTCGCTTCTCTCTTCTTACTGCATTTCTATCAAAAATATAAACGTTTTGAACAGGCAGGAGAAGTATGCCAAGCTCTTTGTGGCCGCAACATGTTTTTCAAAATAAAGATGAGTATTTAATCTGCTTCGGCTGAAAAGTTGCTCTTCATTATGGATCAACAATCTGCGCAATCAATATTTCTACAGCATTATTACTTCTAAGTCTATATATAGATATATAATGAAGCATACACACACACACACACACACACACACACACACATATATATATATATAATGTTGTATGAACTTAAATCCATTTAATGCGAATACAAGTTATTATTACTTGCGCAATTGCTGCAA